AAAAAAAAAAGATATTATGACTCATTGGTCTTTTTTTTCGTATCAAGAAGGAAAAAAATCAACGAACCTTTTAATTTAATATATTTTAGATAACAATGGATCGCTTATTAACACATGTTCGTTCACGAGCATTATTATTTCTTTCTCCAAATCGTCAAGTATCTTTATATAAAACAAATATATTCGATTTAAAATCTCGTGCTCTAATAAATATACTCAATCAATTAGATGCATCAAAACAAACTTCAACAATTCCATCGTCTAATAATGATACATCTTATGATTTTAATACACATTTTCCATTACCAGGACATATTGGATTTTCTTATGAAACAAAAACAATATCAAAAACTTTTCAAGAAAAAGATTCAAATGAACAATTAATAAATACATATTCATCATTATCAACAAATAATGAAAAAGAATTTTTAAAAAAATTAATAAATTATAAAAATTTAGAAATTCGTACATATGATTGTTCATCATTATTATGTTCAAAATTAAATAATTTATTTTTAAATTATAATATATTAACACAACCATTAACAGCTATAACAATAATATTTAAAACAAATTCAGATATGTCAACATGGTCAATAGAAGTTGAAAATGAACGTTATCAATTAATTGAAAAATTTAATAAATTAGCTCAAGAAATATCAACTTATTTAAATTCAAAAAAATATTGGGTAGATTTTATTGATCCATCAAATGGAAAACCTTATTATGGATCATCAACGTTAGATACATTATTTGAAACAGATGAACGTTTTCGTAATTTTGGTATTAATATTGTTGATTTAGGTTGTTGTCGAGTTATTCAGCATTTACAATATGGTAAAAAGACAAAAACATTTTTAATTTAATATTTATTAGAAAATTTATTATAGGTACTCATGTATTTGTTGGTTGCATATTTACAAGTGCATCAAAGATAGATCCACATGTTCAAAATCTTCTTAAAGAATTCGATATTTCTAATTGATTAAAACGAAAAACAAGAACAAATCTTTTCATCTTTATAAATTAAAAAACACAAATTTGAATTAATTATTTTATAGAATCTATTCTCCAGCAATTTAATCTTACTAATTGATCGCAAAAATAAATAAATATATCTATGTTGCTTATTCTATTATTATTATAAATAAAAGAAAATTTTATTGTCAACTTATAACTAAATGAATAATTGAACAAATGTTTCTTTTTATTCCTATCAGAAATATTCTAAAAAAATATCTATAAACACTTCAGTAGAATGTACTTTCTAACTTGGAACCTTGATAATATGAATATAATATATATATATATATCTATTATTAATTGAAAAAGTTATTTTGTTTTTCTATTTTCTTAATGAAAAATTTAATAGATTTATGATAGAAATCATTGTATATATAATTCATGATAGCATGAATTTGTGTATAAATAATTGAATAATATTTCAATCTACTGA